AAATTCTTTAAAACATTCAAAAAACAATTAATTCTAATACTAAACTGCTTGCAATAATATGAAAGAATGTACTCTTTCAATCTCTTTCTACAACAGAAATAGTTTTGATACCTAAAACAGCAACAAAATAGAAAACTATAGACCATTATCCCTAATGAATGTTGATTGTCACAAAATTTTTTAAAATAAAAATTAGCAAGTAGGCTACAACAACACATTAGAAAGATTATATACTACCACAAGACTGGATTTATACCAGGTATATTGCACAGATTCAACATAAGGAAAACTATAAATATGATAAACCATTTTAATAAAATTAGTAATAAAAAAAATAACATTTAATCAGTAGATGCTGAAAAGGCTTTTGACAAAATCCAACACTTATTTCTGTGAAAAACTCTAGAAATCATAGGAATAACTGGACCTTTCCTTAACAAAGTAAATATTTCTCTAAATCCAAATTAAATGTAGTGCAGGAAAGTCAGAGGCCTTTCCAATGAGATCAGTTTGTAAAGCAAAGATGCTTATTATTACACACTACTATTTAATACAGTGTTAGAAATGCTAGCAAGGGGGCAGTTAGGTGGTGCAGTGGACACAGCACTGGCCCTGGAGTCAGGAGGACCTGAGTTCAAATCTGGCTTCAGACCTGATACTTGACACTTACTAGCTATGTGACTCTGGGCAAGTCGTTTAACCCCAATTGCCTCACCAAAAAAAAAAAAAAAAAAAAAAGTATTAATGATATATAAGTAGTTATGTGATATGTGAACAGTCCATGACAATTTGACCACATAATTCTTGAGGGCAGCTAGGTGGCGCAGTAGATAGAGTTCTGGCCTTGGAGTCAGGAGGACCCGAGTTCAAATCTGGCCTCAGACACTTGACACTACTTACTAGCAATGTGACCCTGGGCAAGTCACTTAACCCTGACTGCCTCACCAAAAAGCAAAGAGAGCTAGCAAGAACAATAAGACGAGAAAAAACTGAGAGAATAAGCAGAGGCAAAAATTATCTCTTTTTGCAGATATGATGGTGTACCCTTAGTCAACTAAAAATTAAGATAAATTCATATAAATTATCACTGGCATTTCCATATATAATCAACAAAATCCACCAAGAAAAGACAGAAAGAGAAATTCACTCAAAATCACTGTAGTAGCTATTAATACTCAAGGGGGTATCTATTCAGATTCATATAGAGACTACAAGAATCAAACTATAAAACACTCTTTGCAGAAATAAACACAGAACTAAAAAATTAGAGAGACATTAATTACATAAGTAGATTAAGCCACTATAACAGAATGACAATATTACCTATATTAGTTTATTTATCCAGTGCTGTATCAAACTCCCAAAACAGCTATAAATTTTATAGAGCTAGAAAAAATAATTACGAAATTCACATGGAAGAACATACGGTCAAGAATCTCAAGGGTAATACTGAAAACAATAACAACAACAACAACAACAACAAACAATGACAGGAAAGAAGAGCGCCTATCAGTTTTGGATCTCAAACTGTACTACAAAGCGATAATGACAGAAATGATTTGGTACTGGTTAAAAAAAAAGAGGCTGATCAGTACAACAGATTAAATATAAAGAAGCAAACACGGCAGCATAGTGTTCAGTAAATTCAAAGACCTTAGTTACTGGGGGAAGGACTCATTATTTGACAAAAAAGGTTGGGAGAAATCCTGAACAGTAAGGGAATTTCCAGGGGAAATTAGGTTTAGGCCAACACCTCATACCAAGGTAAGTTCCAAATTGATACGCGACCTTCATATAAAAGGTCACATTATAAATAAATCAGAGAAGCAAGGAAGAATTACCTCTTGGATCTATGGATAGAGGAAGAGTTCATGACTAAACAAGTGATAGAAAGGATCACACAAGATAAAATAGATAACTGATTACATTAAGTTAAAAAGGTTTTGCTCAAACAAATCTAATACATTAAAATTTAAAACAGAAACAAGTTTTTCTGATAAAAGTCTCATTTCTAAGATATATAAAGAACTCAAATTTATAAGACTAACAGCCATTTTCCCACAGACAAACGGTCAAAGGATATGAGAAGGCAGTTTTCAAAGACATCCAAAATGTTGACAATTATATATTTTTAAAAATACTCTAAATCACTAATAATTAGAGAAACGCAAATTCTAGTAAATTTGAGGTTTTGTCCCACACTTACCAGACTGGCAAGGATGACAAAAAAGGAAAATGACAAATGCTGGAAGGGCTGTGGCAAAACAGGTACAGCAGCTGAGAGAGCTGGTACTTGGCCCAGTCATTTTAGAAAGAAATTTGGAACAATGCCCAGAAAATCACTAATCTTTGAACACCTCTGACTGTAATATTATTACTAGATCTGTAGCTCCAAGAAAGGGGAAATGGATCCATGTGTACAAAGTATTTATAGCAGCTCTTTTTATGGTAAGCAAAAACTGGAAAACTATGAGTGTATTGTCATTATTGGGGAATGGCTAAATTCACTGAAGAATGTGAATGTTGCTGAATATTACTGTGCCATAACAAATGATGAAATAGAAAACTGGAAAGAACTTTATGAACTGATGAAGAGTGAAGTGAGCAGAACTAGGATAATAATTTACAGTGATTATAACATGATTGAGAAAAACAACTTTGAAAGACTAGAACTCTGATCAATGTCATGATAAACCATGAATGCAAAAGAACGAAGATGAAACATGCCATTCACCTCCTGAAAGAGCAGCAATGAACCTAAGATTCAGAGACACAGATTCTCGGACATGGTTAATGTGGGAATTTGTTTTGGACCACATAGATATATACTGAGGGATTTATTTTTTCAGGTTTAAAATAAAGTTTAAAAGCATTCTGTCCTTCTCATCAACTACTTTATTTCTCCCACACACCGAGACTGAATATCTTAGAATCTTTGACTGCTCTCTTCCTCAACCTCCACCCGACTCACATTCAGCCGATAATGTTAAGTGTTATTTTCTAAAATCCGTTGTTTTCCTTCTCTCCAATCATACTGCCACCATCCTAGCTCAGTTACTCACTGCCTCTGACAGACTGTTGTAACAGTGGTCCCCTAGTCTCCAGGCTTTCTCTTTACTCTCATATTTGTCTCACTTCACAACACTCCCCAAATTGTCTTTGTAACTATCAGCTTGGATAACATACCCTTGCTCAAAAAAATGATTAGTGGCTTCGTACCTTCTCTTGCATGAAAGACTAACTCCTTAGCCTGGCATGTAAGGCCTCCCACCAGCTGATTCGAGTTTACCTTTCCAGTATTACCTAAGCTTGACTGCCAAATGAGTGGAAATTCACCAAACTAACTACATGAAGATGGCTCTAGTCTAGATGATGTTTCACAGCTATGCAACTTTAGAGATATCTTGGCATCTAACCTGCCACTGACCACCCTGCTTTCCCACCTGGAATAGTATCCCTTTCTGGACCATCTCTCTATCCTGGCTAGCCCCAACCCATGCTTCAAATCCATTCCAAACATCTTGCCATCTGCTCAGTCACCACACGGATATGTCTTTTCCCCTCTGATAACAGTCATCAATAATACTATTACTCTGGGAAAAGACATGCCAGTCAAGTGCCCTTTGGCTCTCCACATCATCTCTGTGACTCCTCCAGACAAAGACTCCCTTCCCCGGCCATCATTCCTCTGTATGGAAAGGCTTCCCTTATTGGAAGAGAAGCTCCTTTAAGAGAGTTACTGCATCATAACTGTATTTTATCCCCAGCACCTAGCCAAGTGCCAGGAAGAGGCTAACAGATGCTTTTTCATTCATCTAACTATTTTCCCATCACATCAGGCTTCAGCCAAATTGGACTGCTAAAAGCCCCCTGGTTGTGTCTCATCTTCTCACCTTTGTTCCTGCAAACCTGGGATGGATTTCCTGTATCTCCAAGCCTGTTAAGATCCTTTCTTTCCTTCAAAGTCCACCTCAGGTGATATCTCCTAGCTTCCCCCGATCTCCTTAGGTGGAGGTGATCTCTCACTTCTAGAATTTCTTGGAGCACTTTGTATAGTCTTAAGTCCTTGGTACTTAACACTTAATTTGTATTATCATTTATTAGTGTGAATGCTACTCCCCCTCCCCCAAAAGATAAGCATCTTGAGAGAAGGAACTAAGTCTCATTTCATATTTTTTGTAGCCCCAAAGCCTAGTATAGCACCCATGCATGAGGCAAGAGCTTAATAAATGTCTGTTGAATTGAATTGCTCTGTCAGACCTCTGTAAGGTAACCCTGAGTTACCTTGTCAGGGGTGATGAGGCTTTTGGACCCTGGGTGGGCCACTGCCACACTAGATGCTCTTATTGGCTACCATCTCCTGGTTAAGGACAGTGACTAATTTAGGATGTTACTAGGTAGGGAGAAAGTCATGGACGAGGGATAAGGATGCCATCTGGTTGTTTGGCCATGTTCCTTGGTGGTTTCCTGTCCTGTTTGTTTTTCTCCCTGTTGGGGAAGAAGCAGCAGAAGCCCGAGCTCTTAGGGGAGGAGGGTGTCTAGTTAGCTCAGGGAAAACTGCCCAAGAAAGGATCAAGTTGGAGCTCCTAAAGACTCCCTGGAAATACTCACCTTTGGGGAAGAAAGGAAAAGGTGGAGGGTAAAAGCCACCACTTATTTGTAGGGAACTTAGCCTGAAATGAATTAGATAGGGATTGGAAATACTTTTTTAACACAGAAATTTCTGTTGCATGTTGAAGCAGTGGGGCAATGGGAGAAGCACTGAATGAAGAGTCAAGCTACCTGGGTTCCAGTCCAGGTTTGACGATTAACAAGCAAGTGGTTTCTTCATTTGTCCGGGCCTCAGCTTCCTCATCTGACAAATGGAGGGGCTAGGCTAGATGGCTTTTAAGGGGTTAGTGGGGTTGAACCCTTGCCTTTCTGTTCCTTACAACTGAAGATGAAATTGTTGGTCACCACTGCTCACGGTAGAGAAAAGGGGAAATGAGGAGGTCACTTACATTGTCTCTCTGTTCAAAATCCACGGAGCTGGAGACAGAAGTGAGGCGCTCGTAGCGGTCATGGCTGTCTGCCTGCATTGCTGAGGACATACTGAAAAGTGGGGGTTGGGGGTGGAAGGAGAAAAGGGTTAGAGAAGAACTGTTTGATGCCCTCCCCTACCTCAGACAGGAGGGAGGATGCTACTACACCATAGCTCTGTGGGCCAAGGAAGGCACAGGGCAACAGAGAAAGGCAAAGCGGGAATGTGGGGTGAAAGACAGGGATGGGGGTGATTCCTCTTCCCTTTTTCCCATTTCTGTCTCCTCTCTTTCTCAAGGAGGCCTGGGGATGCCTAGTACAGGCTTGTGAACACAGTAGGTACTCAATCAATGCTGCATGAATGAAAAGAATGGGGGTGGTTAGAAGGAAAAAGGGTAGGGAGAAGTCCAGGAGGTGGTTAGAAAAGGGCAGGGGTTGGCCTTGAGGAAGATGATGGGTGTGAGATGAGGCCAAGGCAGAGACTAGAGTGTAAGTCTATTTGGAATCAAATGAGCAAGCTGAGTTGTAATTATTTTATTGTTTAGCTGTTTCAGTTGTGTCCGATGTTGTGACCCTATTTGGGGTTTTCTTGGCAAAGATACTGGGTTGGTTCATCATTTCCTTCTTCAGCTCATTTTACAGATGAGGAAACTGAGGCAAACAGGGTTAAGTGACTTGCCCAGGGTCATACAGCTAGTAAGTATCTGAGGCTGGATTTGAACTCAGGAAGGTAAGTCTTCCTGACTCCAGGCCCAGCACTCTATCTACTGCACCACCTAGCTACTGAGTTGTAATAATTCCATTCAGTGCTTGCAAACTACTTTTTTCACAACCACCCTATGAGGTAAGAAGCTTCAAGTATCATTACCCCCTTTTTACAGATGAGAATGCTAAGGCCCAGAGAAGTTGAGTGACTTGCCTATTATCATATAGTTAGTAAATGTAAGAGCTGGAATGGTGGAAAGAGTATTGTACTGGGAGTCAAGACACCAGAGTTCTAATTCTAACTCTCTGTGACTTGAGTGATTTTATTCCCCAGGGTCTCAATTTCCTTAATAATAAAAGGAGGGGGTAGAGTTCAATGATCCCTCAGGTCCTTCCCAGCTCTTAGAAATAGAAGTTGTCTTGGTAAAACAGAGTCTAAAAGGGAGGCAGAAGGATGGTGCCTAAAGCCTTCTGAAGCCTGGAGAGGGTGGCTGGTCAAGGGAAGAGCCCGGCCAAACACCCAAATTACTTTCTGCTCTGCTGTGCCACTTCTCTTCTGGGGGAATGCTTCTTTAGCAATGCCATTTTCTCATCTGTCAGAGGTAAGGAATGAACTAAATGAGCTCTAAGACCTCTTCTAGCTTTGGTACTACTGAGAGGTTACAGAAGAAAGTCCATATATTTATCCCCAACTTGCAGGGCAGATGTGAGGAAAACACTTTTTAAACTTGTAAGAGTGCTACATAAATGTGAATTATATGATTATATATATGAGCTGTTGAGTATGGGGAATGCAACGGTAAGAAATAGATTTGTGTTCCAACAGAGAGACTGAGGTTAGACGTGAAAGAACTAGAGAGAGCAGAGGAAAAGTACTAGACCTGGAGTTAGGAGAGACCTGTGTTCAAATCCCAGCTCTAACACTTACTAGCTGTATGAGCATGGCCAAGTCATTTAACATCTTTGAACCTCAGTTTCCACATCTGCAAAATGGGAATAATAATATTTGTACTACCCATCTCACAAGATGGTAGAACAGCTTAAAAGATATATATATACACACACACACATATATACTATATACTGTGAACTGCCAAGCAGTTTCTGATGGGTTAGGTGGGGGTAGGATACTCTGGACATTAGTCCAGGACAGAAGGCAGCTGAGCCAACTCCTGCGTGACCTCTGTTTCTGCAGGAAGGACGGGCTGGTCCTGACTAGAATTAAGGGCTTAAAAGGGGCAACCTTTGGATATCTGCATTGCAGTGTGAGCAACTGCCCAGCAGGGGGCAGCAGTACCATCCTCATGAGAAACAGCAGGCTTTGTTAGCTTGCAAAGGGACTCTTTCAAGGAATCTCTTCTGTAAAGTCCCTTCTCCCCTGATCCTGTGTCTGATGGGAGGAGAGCTGGCTCCCAAATCCTATCCTGTAGGGAGGTGTTTGGGGGAGACATCTACAGAACTGGCCCATTACCCTCCTACTCCCCTTCCCCCACCCAGTAGTAGTAGCAGCAGCAGCAGCAGCAGGAGCAGCAGCAGCAGCAGCAAAAGCAGCTTCTATCCTGCAAACAGAGACCAAGGCAAGAAGGTCAGGGCTGGGAGAGGGGCTGGAAGGAGGGTAGGAGCCGGTGCTCCTTGGACAGTTCTGATCCTGCAGCTGGGGGTGGGTACACTTCCTGGCCACCAGGCCAAAGGAAGTTAGGAGGGAACCCTGGAATCTAAAGAATAGGAACTTAGGGGGAAGGAAGCCACAAGGAACCTCCTTCTTGTCTCTGCAGTTGAGGGTGAGTTTGAGTGCGTCCAGGTAGGAAAGGTCTGATGTCCATTGGATCCTCTTTTTTATATTCCCTAATAAAAAAAATCTGGACGACTGCCTCAGCCCCAGTCTTGTAATCCTTTCGATGCTCAATTTTGGGAAAGGGTAGGTCAGGAGAGTGAGAGTGAGAAAGAGCGAGTGAGAGAGAAAGAGAGAGAGAGAGAGTGTGTGTGTGTGTGTGTGTGAGAGAGAGAGAGAGAGAGAGAGAGAGAGAGAGAGTGTGTGTGTGTGTGTGTGTGTGTGTGTGTGTGTGTGTGTGAAACCCAGAGACAAGTTGAGGAATTCCCTGCTTTGCAAAGCACACCGCCTGAGTTAATCCCGAAACCACCACGAGACTGCAGAGAGACAAACTGCAAAAGAAAACATCACAGTGGCAAGAGATGAGAAGTGAGAAAGCAAGGGAGCAAGGGAAGATGGTTTGCAGGGGAAAGAGAGGGGCTGATGCCCCACGTACTATTCCTGTTCCACTCGGTCTTTCTGCTGGCGTCGCATCCTGAGGACAGAGAATAGAGAGTGTTAAGGCCTGAAGGAAAGGACTGGCAGCATCCTTTCCGTGACCCTCCTCCCCCTGGTGAGTACTACCTTCTAACTGAAGATCACTTCTCACTGCTGTATTTTCCCCCAAGACCCTAAAGCACATGCCCCTATCCAAAACAACAACAGATATGGAAGGGGTAGGAGAAGAGCACAGTCACACTCATGAGGAAAAGAGAAAATGAGGGGACCTCGAATGGGGAAAGGCATAGTTTTAGAAAACAGGGGTAACTCTTGTCTCTGTCTCCTCCCTCCCCCCTCCGCCATCCTCACCTGTCAACATCGGTAACCAAGGCCAGTCGTCCATAGTCCCAGGCCACCTTTCGCAGGACAGAGAACAGGAACAGCAACAACTAGTGCAAAGGATATAGGGAGGAGATTGGTAAAACTAGGGGTTCTGCACATCCTCTAAATGGAAAGGACAATGTTGATAATTTAAGGGTCTTAGTGATTAGGGTAAGTGGGAGGTCCAGATAAGATGGGGTCTGAGGCCAGAGATGTGAGCTTGGAATATTATTAGCAGGTCAGGGAAGGAAGGGAAGGAGGGGAAGAGAGGATCCCTTAGTTATATGTGAACAGAAAGACTAGGTTTTTGTTAGGAGGTCTGCACCGGAATAGGTATTTGTCTATTGCTGAGGGGTGGTGATAGAACTACGTGTATCCCCGATTATGCTTGGGGTTGGAGCTAGGGGAGTTCTCCATGGCAGAGACTGGAGGGAGTCTGAGCACTCACAAGAAAGCATAGGAAATCAAGTGCAAGTACTGTGGGAATTCCCCCAAAAGGCAGCCCTTGGAGTACAGTGCTTCTGATCCGGGCTTTGTAACAGTAATCCTTGGCTTCCGAGTTGTTGTTGACTATCGGGTCGCCCAGCGGAAAGGGCATTGTGGCTGCTATTGCAGCATCGTCTTCCTGCAATAATGGAAGAAAAGGGTCAGTTGAAGGTCTTAGGGTTAGCCTCCTTTCACCCCCATGGCCCTTGGGGGCAGTATAAGTGAAAAGAAGGGGATGCCTTTAGTCCTTAGTCTAGAAAACCAGTCTAGGCAGACTGAGGAACTCTGGGAATGGGAAGATCTGGCCATCGAAGACAAGGACCTGCGTGTGTGTGTGTGTGTGGGGGGGGGGGGGGGGGGGTCCCCAGACATAGAGTCTGCCCCCCCAGCCCCTGAGAAGTGGGCTCAGAGTTGCTTCCCCCCTTCTCTCCCTCTTAGGAGGAGCTGGACTCAAGTTTCATGCTCTCCAGTTCTCATTTCCTTCTCCTTCCAATTCCTTCCCACTCCATCTCATAAGGCCTAGACCCTTGCTAAGAGTAGGACAAGAAAGAGATGAACTGGGATCTCAGAGTAGCTGCAAGGGGATAGTGATGTTAAGTGGAGGGGGAAGGGGGTGTTATATTAAACCAGATCATGGTGGCTGCCTGTAGGAGGATACAAAAGAGAGCCAGAGGCAATCTATCCTGTTCACACTAAAGGCATTATTTCTCTACTAAATTCTTCCTCATCAACAGTGTGGAGGTGATTGGGTTTAAAGACTGTGACAACATAGCTGGAACTCTGTGGAGGTACCTGCTAAGCTATTAAAGCTTCAAGTACTGCCTGATTATGGCTTGTATATAAGAGAGGTTCACCATTTGGAGGGCTGACCACTACCACAATTAATTCTTTTGGCCAGCAGAACTAGGGAAGACCATTAAAGAATGAAGGTGTTTCACTCCATCTGCAAGGGTGGAAAGTGTGGGCACCTTCATGAAAAACGTGTATCATTATAAACTAGGTGTCACATGAAAGATGAAGGAGTTGAAGGAAAAGACCCCTTTTAGCTCTAAAATTTCTTATTGATTCATTTATCCAATAAATATTTATTAAGCACCTACAAATATTCAAGACAGAGTGTTAGGTACCATAACACATTTAAATGGCATCAACAAAAATGGATGATTAGCCTACCTGGATACTGCTTTAGGTTTCTTGTTCTCTTAAGGAAGGGTGGGGAGTCTAGGTTTTAAGTGGCAATATGGATTTCTGGGTCTGGTTCACCAGAGTACCTCTACGCACGGTCACAGAGAGAATGTACTAAGTCCTGAGATCTATTCTTTCTTCTCCCCTCTCCTCTCAACCCAGCTTTCTCAAGCAGGATCCTGCTGAGCTATGTTTCCTACATAGGGGCCACAAAGAAAATCACAGAATTGTAGTTTCAAGGAACTTCATCGACTACTTACTCCAGTCCATACCAGAAGAAGAATCTTCACCACAACCTGACGGATGCCTCTGCCTAAAGACCTCCACCGAGGAGGAACCCACCACCCCTGAACGACCCATTCCATCTACGAATAGATCCAAATGTTAGGGAGGTTTTAAAAAAATATCACATAAAAATTTGTGTCATTGTTTACTCAGCATTCACCAACTGTTGGATGTTCAGGTTGTTTACAATTTTTGCAATCACATACAGTCCTGCTATACATTTAAAAAAAGAGAATGGTCTTTGTGCTGTCCTAGGGTATATTTCCAATAATATGATTACTGAGTAAACGGCTAGGATTATTCTTATTAAGATTTTTATTTCTTAAAGCTTACAAACTTTAAAATAATTCTCTTCCTGTCATTTTCTCTCCATCTAGCCCATACAGCCTACAGCCTACAATTCCCGGAATGCTAAGCTTTTTTCACAGAGCAGGGCTGTCTGGGAATGCCACACCTTCTACTAAGCTGCACCACTGGTGAACCACAGGGGAGTGGGGAGGTTTTAAGCTTTACCATTTCCAATAATGCCCTCTGAGGGTGGGAGGGGGCTCGATGTGGAGCGGACAATAAAATGACACCTTCCCCCCCCCCTTTTTTTACACTGAAGACCTGGCTTCACCTCTGTTATTTATAGATCTCCCTAAGCTCCCTCAGGGAAGTATGTTAGGGTGGGGCAGATAGTAGCCCTACCCTAAGAGAAAGAGCCCAGCCAATCCCTGGCCTAGACACCTGGGCTCTAGGAGAGCCTGGGGAATGGAGGGGGCATTGACCCAAGGCTACAGAAGGCCCTAAGGAGGCCAAAGCAGCAGCTTCTTTGCTCTCCCTCCTTCCTCTCCACACTCACTCACTCACTAGCTTCCCAAGAGGGATCACTTTGAGTAGATGAGGAGACTGTGGGGGCCTGGGGACAGGAACCGCCTAGATTGAGGCCAAACAACAAATGCAGGGGCGTGGCAGTGATTCTAAGAGAGAAGGCAGCCTCTTCCCACTGGCGCTAGCCATGACTCAATGGGATTCTCGGCCCCCTCACCCCAACTCCTTGTCTTCCCTGGGGGTTGACTGTAGGTGGAGGGCAAGACATCTCCCTGACCTAACAAACTCGGGGTTGTAGTGGAAGGGGGAGTGGTAATGCATTTGAAGTTCACAGGATCATTAGAAATCAAATAGCTGAAATCACTCTCATTTTAAAGAGAATAAACCAAGGCGCAGAGTAAGGAAGGGTTTGGTGTGAGATCTCACACAGGTAGTAAGAAGTAGAACAGAAATTCAAAATCCAAATTCAGGAGAAGGGGGAGCCAGTTAACAGAGACCATATGGATGGCACACGGGTGTGTGTATCTGTGTATATAGGGGAGACTACCTCCCCCTTCCCAGTGCCTAGATAAAAGCCCTATGCATTTAAGAGCAATTAATAAATGCTTATTGAATTACTGAACAACTGCTTTGAGTGTATAGGTACATAATGCCAGTGCTGGTGTAAAGATACAACATATATCAGTTATGGGCTGTCTCTCAGGTAGGTGCATCTGTGTCTTTACTGGGTATGTAAACAAAAGTACCCAGAAGTTAAGGGTACAAATTTAGGCTCAAAGTCCCTCTCCATCTCGAAACCATCCCCTTTACTCCAGAGGTTGTTGCAATACCTCTCTTTTCCTGCACTAAAGGCACATTCTGAGGTCAAGATACAAAGATAAATCCCTTTCAAGCTCCAATTTCCCATCTCCCTTCCATTTCAGGGGATCCTGGCAGTTTGTGTGGCACTGCCTACTCCCATTCCCCATAGTCCCGAGGGCAAGGGACCTTCATGACCTAACCACCCAATCAGGGTGAGTAGGTAAGAGTCATGCCAGCTGCTTTATTAGTTCAAGAACTGAAATTGAAAAGGAGCTCTGCTGGAGTGTTATTCTAGCTATGGTTGTTGTAGGATCAATGGAAGTGGAGGAAATGAGCAGAAGGAAGAGAAAAATGGCAGAGGTGATGATGGGAGGCTAAGGGGGCAGAGGAACAGGTTTTATGCAGTTTAAGATTTTGAAGAGCATTGGAGAAGAATATAATAGTTCACATTTATATAGCACTGTATAGTTTATAAAGAACTTCATACACATTATTCCATTTGATATTCACGACGCCCCTAGAGATGATTTCCAAGTTCCCTCTTATTTGGCTCTAAGTCCTACAGTCCCAAGTTGGTTTTGTAGGTATTATTATCTGCATTTTACAGAAGAGAAGACCTAGGTGTAGAATGGTTAAATGACTTGCCCAAAGTAAAACAGCTAGTAAAGAGCAAAACTAGGAACCTTGGTCTTCTGATATCCAAACCAGTATAATTTTCATTGCAGCACAATGCGTCTACAAGAGACCAGAGTGGAATTCTTATGACAGGTGGTAGTAACTTTCCTCCTCGTACTAGGATGCCAGTGGCGTCAAGATATTCTCCTAGTTTGATTAAGATGCTTAATTTAAGTTGGCAAAGGGTTTATTTTCAGGCCAACTCAGGGTTTTGCTATTGTGAGGTGACAATGGGTGAAGGGAGAGGGTTACAGCTTAAAGTTTATTATTGTAGAACTGCAGGGGAAATTGTAATTTAGGACTTGTAATTATAGTTAGAAAGTATACTCCATCAGGAGGATGCCTTGGTTAGTAGATAAGAGACCAGGGCTCTAGTTTTAGCTAGGTGACTCAGTGACCTTGGACAAATCCCTAACCCTCTCCAATTCTAGATCTTTCTGTTGATAATAGAGGGATGATAACATCTCTGCCTTGGGCAGAAATGTCCTAGTAAGGATAAAATTTTAAGAATGGGCCTGAGAAGCAAAAGTAATATAAAAGTGAAAAAGATTATTTATTATCAAAGTAACTTGAAGGGAGGAGGGAATAAACAATTTACTTAGCCTTTACTATGAACCAGGCATTGTGCTTTACAAATACTATCTCATTTGATTATCATAACAACCCTTTGAAGTAGGATCTATTACCATGCTCATTTTATAGTTGAGGAAACTGAGGCAAACAGGTGAAGTGACTTGTCTAAAGTCACACAACTAGTGTGACCAAATCTGAACTCAGGTCTTCCTGACTCTATGCCCAGTTCTCTATCCACTGCACCAACTAGCTGCCTTGGGGACTGTTGGTGATGGTATAAAATTTAAGTTTCTCTAGACCCTCCAGTTCTCCCACTGGAAGATAACTTTACTCAACCTCCAACTTTTCTGTATCTTCTATAACTTCAGGGCTAACTCAGGTGGTACACACATCTATCAATTGTGGCCATCCATGACTCAGGGTTTATTTGCTTTGAGGGTAAATTTTTCCCACCAGGAGGTCCTTCCTGGATTTAAATTGCAGGCCACTGCAAGTTTTTACCCATAGAAAAAAGATAGTAGCCAAGGAGACTGAGGCTGGTATCCTGGCTCTACCATTGATGAACCCTACAACCTGGGTCATGTCACTTTCTAGACCTTAGTTTCCACGTCTATAAAACTGGTGAGAGAGAGAGAGAGAGAGAGAGAGAGAGAGAGAGAGAGAGAGAGAGAGAGAGAGAGAGAGTGTGTGACTAAATGATCTGTAATCTTTTTTCTAGTTCTAATTTAGCTTTTGCTTTCTTAAGAGAAACTCTGAGGCACAACAGGGACTTGTTATTGTCAGGTTGTTTAGTGGGGGAAGGGGCTGGTTAAAAACAACAACAAACACAAAACCAACAGGGTTTATTTTGGGCCTGCTTAAGTGAAGACAGCTATGATTAAGCTTATTTTGAAAATGTGACAAAGGGTCTTTCCTGTGCTATCCGTTCTTTGGGGCTTCCCACCAGAGCTGTTTCCAGGGCCACTATTCCCCTTGTGCCCTCCAGTCACATCTGAGTAATGATGGCACTGCTCAGGACCAGAGAGGAAGGCAGTGTGGAATAATGAAAAGAGCTTTGGCTGGGAACCACAAGACCTGGGCTCTGGTGTTGGTTCTGCCACTAATTAGCTGTGCGACCTTGGCCAAGTCATTTTGCTTTATGCCCTCTTCTCCTCTGTGAAAATGAGAGTATTAGGCTAAAAATCTCTTCTAGCACTGAATGGCATCCTGTGTTTCTATGACCTAGGAGGGTATAGGATAGGAGGATGCCAATCTATCACTTTCCCTCTACCTATCAGGGAAAGACAGGCTGAACTACAGGTCCCAGAATGCAATACTTTGGGCATGCCAGGGCCTGGACTCTAATGCCACCCCAATGCCCTGGAGGGCGGCCATGCCAACCTTTTCTTTCCACTCAGGGTAGGGAGGTGAGGGAAGGCAGTGTTCCTCAGCAGTTGGGTAGACACTCCCAACTCCAGTACCTCAATGTTCATGTAACCCTCTGAGTTGGCATCAGCACCCTAGTAGGCAGAAGCAAGGGCACCCCCCCAAACATACACATATATACTCTTTCTGGGCTACAGAAGGAACCAGAATTGTGGCTGGACATTCCCTGTGGATGCCAAGCCTATGCCCACAACGACCCAGGCAGGTGGCAGCACCAAGGACAGCCAGGCTCCCACCTCCCCCACTGACCTCTCCATTCCCCAACAGCCCCGTCGGCCTCCACGCAGGACAAGGGGCAGAAGCCTATCCTTACCTATCCCCACCTCAGGCAGAAAAGGAGTGCCTTTCAGAAGCCTCAGGTTCCCCACTAGCCCGTCCAGCCTAGATCTTCCCACCGCCCTCTCCAGCAAGCCTCGGGCCAGTGCCGTGAATAAGACTGCATTGTGCTGGGGTGGAAGGACACTCACAAGGAGCACGTATACACAACACAACACAACACACACACACACACACACACACTCACACACTCACACTCACATTCAACACCCCTCCCTGGCTCAATCTCCCCCAGTCTGGGCCAGGGGACACGGAGCAGTCATACCGCAGCCCGGGGCCCAGCGCAGGCAAAGATTCCACTCGCGTGCGCGCGTGTGCGTGTGCGTGTGTGCGCGCGCTCGCGTGTTTGTGTCTAGGGGGGCGGCGGTAAAATCTACGGAGTCTATCAGATCATGCGACACTGTTCCCTTCTCTCCACCCCGTAAATAAACAAACAACAAAAAAAACCCCAACAAAAACCCCCCAAAACAACAACAAAACCCAACCCCAACCCACCAAACTAAAGCTTCGGCCGGGGTAGGGGGATGGGAAGACAACATCTGGATCCCCGAAAAAAGGGCGGGCGGCGGGGAGGGGAAAGGAACCCTGGAGGGCGCATCGTGGGGGAGGGGGCACACACCTGGACTGGGCAGGTGGGCGAAGAGGGACGGTGGGGGTCCCCCGAATAGCTAGATGCCCGGAGGACGGAGGCTGGATACAGCGCGGGGCGCATTGGGATCCCGGGTGGGGGTCGGGAGGTTTTTTTTTGGGGGGGTGGTCCGCATAATTAGATTCTCCGGTTTTAGACTGGGGAGGATTTTCGGGAATAGGGGGTGGGGGCGCGGGGAGGGGTCGCCTACTCACCCTCGGGCGCACACTCGGCTCCCGCTCCGAGGCTCGGGTCGGGGCTCGGGGCCGGGGTGGGCGGGGGCAGGGGGAGGGGGTGTCGCTGGGCGGTTCGGGCTCCGGGCTCCTGAGGCGGCCGCGGCTCCCGGCTGGGGGAGGAGGGAAAGGGGAGGAGGGAGGCCAGAGGAGGGAGGGAGGGATTGGGTAGGAGGAGGAGGGGCGGGGAGAGAGCGAAGTTAAGGCGGGGGAAGGGAGGGGGGAAGCAGGAGGGGGCGAGGCAGCGTCGCTGCCGACCGCCCGGGGCCTACCCCCTAACGCACACATGGCGAATGCACGCTCGTACGTGCGCAGGCGGGGAATGGGGCCCGGGAGACCTTAGTGCGCAAACGCTCTGCCAAGGCGGTGGGGGCGGGGTGGGGGGCGCTGTGGAGCCGAGCTGCGGGAGCTGGTGGGGGCGGGGTGAGACACGCGTTTAACCTCCGAGACCCGAGGTTTTCTCTAACGCGGCGGTGAGAGCGGTAATTGTGGGGAGAGTTAAAAAACAAAAAAGTTTTCCTTTTGCATTCCTCCACCTAGTAGAGGCAACGAGAGAGGGAACTCAGCAGCGTGGTGTAAATGCTAAGGTCCTAGTTAGGGGGAATAGGGCTGGGGGGGACAAGGGGTCCTGGTTAGGGGAGAAGGAGGAGGAGTTGGTGGGGGAGGGGGTCCTGGTTGGAGTAAAGGAAGGGGGAAGGGTCCTGATTTAGGGGGAATGGGTTTTGGAGGGAAGAGTAGGGGACAAATGGGGGGGCATCCTGGTTGGAGTAAAGGGCAGGATGACGGGGGAGAGTTCTCATGTAGGAAAGCGTGTAGGGTAAGTGTCGTGTCCCTCTGCCCCCCTATACCTACATCCCTGTAATGTATCTTTCGGGTTTTTCTTCCACCCTCCCTCCTGGAGAAGTTGTGGTAGTGGTGGTGGGGAATTGACAGAGCTGGGACACATCAGCCAACGTTTGCCCTAGGTTGTGCCTTCTTGCACCAGACCTGTACCCCCCGCTGCTCTTGTTTGGGAATGAGGACTCACCTGCCTTCCCTGGGAATGAGGAGCTGTGTTGCTTCCGGGGTGCTTGTGGATAGGTGAGGCTGGCTGTAGTTAAGGCTTTGAGAATGGCAGTGGATCCTGGCCTTCCTTTCCTTCTGCTCTTGTGGCTTCAGCCTGTCGCGGCTCTGAGGCTGCTATCCCTCTTTTCGGTCAATGTGGTTTCTTTCCCCTCCTCGTCCCTCTCCAACTCTTGATATTGAGATGTCTCTTGTTTATTTATGTCCTTGTCCAGTATGCTTATGGAATAGGGAGTGAGTCCTTTGCTTTCACTTCATTCTCCTTGATGGACAAATTAATTCCTTTGACTGCAGTTATTTCTCTGCATTTTTATTTCCCTAAAGATACAGAATCTATCTGCCAGGGACTAAATGGTTGGAACCTTATTTTGAAAAAGATTGGGAAGCCCCAATTTGTTCATCAAATCCAGAGAACCATAGAACTGTCCTGACTCTATCCCATCCCCTTTGAAGTTTGTAGGTTGAAATAGGTTTCGGACTAGTGAAAGTACTACTTTCCACAGCAATTGGTAATCGGTTTGTGTATTTTGAAAATGTAAATAGCTTCAAGTATTTAGAACTTTGCAAACCTTAAAAGCTCCATATAAATGCTATTATTACCATAATAAATTTCAGGCTGGAAGTTCCATAAGGGGTCAATATTTATTTATTAAATATTTATTAGAACATACTGGGTAATTATGGAAAGAGCCCTAGAGTTGGTCTGGTCCCACCTTTGCCACTTAATACTTGTATGCCCTGACTACTCTGAGCCTGTTTTTTTTCTTTGAGGAGAATAATATATGTACTTCCTGCTGCGGAATGAAGCTCAAGTGAGACAGTAAAGTACTTTGTCACCATAAAGCATGCTTGGTGAATATAAGTTATTGTTACAAACATTTTATTGAGTGCAGGGGCTAGAGAAATTAGAAGTATAGCCCTAACCTGGTCAAATGGCATCAGAGAATAACTGCTATTATCTCTTCCAAGCAGTTTTTGTTACTTCAGACAATGCTGGACTGTACCATTTAAACAGTCTGGCTTGTCTTGGTGTTTTTTTGAACCCAAATGTAAGATTTACATTTCTGTCCTTTGAATTTTATTTTGTTAGATTTAGCCCAGAGTTTTAACCTTTTAAGGACATTTTTTGATTCTTATTCAGTCAGAATTAGACATATTAGCTGACCCTGGCATTAAGTCATCTGCAGATTGATAACAGTCTTTGTCTTTATCTAAGTCATTGATAGTTGCTAAATAGTTCAGGGCCAAAGAGAGACCCCAAAGGGAGACTGTGGTACAATAGAAAGAGTGCTGGATTAGAAGTCAGAGGACTTGGGTTCAAATCCTAGTGCTTGTGCTTGCTACTGTATGACCATGACCTGAAGCAAGTCATTTCCCCTCTCTGGGCCTCAGTTTCCACATCCTTAAATTGAAGAAATTGGACTAGGGCTAGGTGATCTCTAAGGTCTCTTCCATTTCTGAATATATGATTCTATATGATGTCTCCATTGGTAGATTGTGATATGAAACTTAATGTTTGGTTTGTTGCCCATAGGAGGCAGATATATTTGTTCAGATTATTGTTCAGATATATTATAAAAAATATTGGTTATTAGAGAAGCAGTGAGGAGTGGTGGAAAGATCCCTGAACTTGGAGTAAGGAAATAGGGATTGAATCCTGGCTGTAATACTTACATACCGATATGTGTGTGTCCTTGGCCAAATCATTTAACTCTAAGCCTATTTCCTCAGCTCCAAAATGGGGTAGTAATACTTGGATTGCATATCTTCCAAGTTGTAATGAAAAAAAAACTTTTGTTAACCCTAGAGTGTGCGATATAAACATGCATTAATCATTACCTGGCCGTAGCATATGTAGCAAGGTATACTAGGGGTAGGAGGAAAAGACCTGAACTTTATCCCTGGTAGCTTATAGTCTGATTAAAAACGTAATCCTTTTCAGCAGAAATAAATGTGTGTAAGTCTATTGAGGGGTAGGGTAAGTTTGAGGTTATTCAAGGGGGTTAGAAAGATGGCTAATTAGGGAAAGCTCATGACTGGAGGAGCTATGATTGAAAAGAAGGTAAGTTGTTAACTACAAGGTATGCCTTTTGAAATTTGGTGCTTATGTTCGTTAGTTCTGCATTCTTGTAGTTGTCCTGGATGGAAGGGAATTGTTTAGATTCTAAGAGATTTGGAATATTTTTCTTTGAGGAATTTCTCTCTATACCTGTACTGCCATTTTTTGGTGGGAGTTTTCTGAATGCAGAATCCAACAGTGTTCTGTGCATTTTATGATTGTGAAAACTTGTGTAACCCAGTGCCAGTCTGGCAAAATGACTGGGAAGTAGGCTAAAGGCTTCAACTAACCCTGAGCTCTTTAAAGAAAATGTAGCTAATATTAGTTGTTAATCACTCTATAACAAACATTTAGTAATTGCCTCCTGTGTGCCAGGCACTGTTGTGAATCTGAAATGTGTTGTTGATTCCTAGATTATCAACATTTTTTATCTATGCTGATTTTTTCTTCTGGGTAACATAATTTGTGTTTATAACACTTTGAGATTTCTGATGTGTTGGTAATGCAAATATTACTGTCTCCATTTTACAGATCAGAAAACTGAGGCTCAGAGATGACTTGACTTACAGCAAGTAAGCAGCCCATCTAGGACTCAAACCTAGATTTTTTTTTTAATTTATTTTGATTTATCAATAATCACTTCCGTATGCTTTTGAGTTTAAAATTTTTCTCCACCTTCCTTCCCACCACCCTCCCCAAGACAGTGCACAGTCTGATATAAGCTATACATTTACATTCCTATTAAACATATTTTCACATTAGTGATGTGGTAAGTAAAAATTAAAACCAATAGGAGGAACCATCAGAAAGAGGAAACAAAACTCAACAGAAGAGAAAAAAAATAGCAATTCCACTTCCACAGTTCTTTCTTTGGATATGGATAGCATTTACCACCATGAGGCCTCTGGAGATGTCTTAGATCCTTGTGTTGCTGGGAAGGGTTAAGTCTATCAATATTAGTCATCACACAATGTGGCTGTTATTGTGTACAACCTTCTCTTGGTTCTGCTCATTTCTCTCAGCATCAGACCATACAAGTCTTTCCAGGTTTTTGTGAAGTCAGCCTGTTCATCATTTCTTATAGCACAATAGTATTCCATTACATTTATATACCACAGCTTGCTCAGCCATTCCTCAATTGATGGGCATCCTCTCAATTTCCAATTCTTGTCACCACAAAAAGAGTGCTGTGAATATTTTTGTACATGTGAGTCCTTTTCCCATTTGTATGATCTCTTTGGGATATAGCCCTGGAAGTGCTATTGCTGGATCAAACCTAGATCTTACTCTAAATTCAGTGCTCATTCTACCACACATTGTTTCCTAGACTTTAGCTGAAAGGAGTACATGAGAGGGAGTGTGGTATAGTGGGAAGAGCACTGAATTTAGAAGACCTGGGTTAGAGTCCTGGTTCTGACAACAGCAGTGTGACTATGGGTAAGTCACTTAACATCTTTGAGCCTTGATTTTCTCACCTGTAAAATGTGACTGATAGACTCCTATGTTGTAAAGAAAGCGCATTGCAGACTTCAGACTGCTCTTTGAATATTATTATGATCCATATCATAATGTTTTCAAGTAAGGGAATAGTTCAGTACATCTGGAGGGAAACCAAGGAGAGAGAGCATTAAGAGAGAAAAGTGCCTCTGGTCGGGGCTTCTCAGAAAACCAGGAACCAACTTAAGAGGTATCTGAGAGTATATTTGATATTCAAAGTTTTCTTTACTATGAATGGACACGGAACCTCTGTTACAGTACTGTTTGACTCTGGCACTCTGCTGGACGCTTGTATTCAGGCCGTGCTGCCTTGTCTACGGTGATTTCCCAAGATAGGCTTGCTTTCAGGAGAAGGTGTACTTTTAGTGAGGCTTCACAAAAAAGTGATATCCTTCATCAAACTACATTTACTAATTTTTGTTTCAGAACATATAACAATCCCTGTCAGAGCTTAGGATCTTTAAGGTTGGAAGAATCCTTAGGAGATCAGTTAGTAGAGCTCTTTCTCTGTCTTTGGGTAGTGTTATACCCAGTTATCCAGATTCGTTTGTCTGTTGTCAAAACTATTTTTGACCCATTTGAGGACTTGGAGGGAAAATATTTTATTTTAAAGTTTGGCTGTAGAGAGTGTTGTTCCCGTTAATTTTTCACTTCCAGAAACTGATCAAGTGCGTTCTAAGAGCAGAGCACTGTGTTAGCATCTGGGAGAGATTGGAGGCTACCCAGTTAATGCCTCATCAATAATAATAGTGTTAGCGTTTTGTTTTGTAACTCTCTTTGTGAAGTCAGGGTGGAATGGAAATTCTTAAGTAGCTGTGTAGTGGGGAGAGGCAGGAAAAGCTTAACAAAACAGGTGGTATTTGAGTTGGATTTTAATGGATGGATAGGAATTCTGTGGGCAAAGACTGCATTCCAGTAGTATGGCAGTGTCAGTAAAGATACAGAGCTGGGAGCATGGAGAGTAGGAAATGGTGAGTGGTCCTATTTGGCAGGAGCATAAAATGTGTGGGGTAGTATGAGAAGTAAAACTGGGAAAATAGGATAGTTTCATATTTTGTAGGTCCTTCAGTTCCAGACAAAACAGTTTGAAAGAAATAGGCTGTGAAGAGAGACTGAAATTTTTTGAATAGATGAGTGGCATGACCAGATTTATATTCTAAGAAAATAAGTCTGGCATCCATTCGAAGGATGGATTGGAGGTGGGAAGACTGGGAAGACTTATAATAATGTTATTATAGTAATCAGGTAGGTGGTAATGAGCCTATATGGAATTGGAGCAGTTGGGATAGAGAGGAGGGGACATGAGAAATGTTATCAAAGTGGATTTGGACAGGTTTTTTGTAACTTACTGGATATAGTAGATTAAAGAGAGAGGAGTCCAAGATAGGGTTTTGAACAAGGCTCATTGGATTGATGGTGGTGACATTGATAGAAGTAGGATTACTGGATCATGCACTTAGAGCTGGAGAAGACCTCAGTCCTTTCATTTTATAGATGAAGAAGCTGAGGCTCAGAGAGAGGATATGACCACCCAAGGTCACCCTGGTAAGGAAGAAGTAGAGCTGGAATTCCAATCCAGGTATTCTGACTACAAATTGGCTCTTTTCAGTATAACACAATACCTTACTAGAAAAGTTTGTTAGGATTCAGAGCTTGAGAGAACCTCAGAGATATCTTAAGTTCAGCTTCTTCATTTCATAGATGAAGAAAATGAGGCCCACAGGGGCAGTTAGTAACTCATCTAAGGTCACAGGGAGATTCATGCCCAGGTCTTCTGAATGCAGACTTGATTCTCTTTTCACTACAGGAGGGGGAACAAGTTTAGCAGAAATGTAATCTTGATTTTGGACTTGAGTTTGAGGTACTGATGGGACAGTTCAGGTGGAGGCCTTAGGGCTCACCTCAGGTCAGGTCTGGAAATACAGATTTCAGAATCATCTAAGTAAAGGTGATAGTTGAAACCAAGAGAACTATTTACAGGTCTTGGTAGCTTGTTCTGGGTGTTAACTCTTCTTGGGTTGGTGCTGGTTTTTTGTATTTTTAACAAATACAAACTAGTGTGCCAAAGAGGAATTCAATTTAGAGCTAAGAAATGTTGTAGGTAAGACATTATAGTCTCTTATTAAGGAAGCTGCCAAATAGCATACTTACTGTAAATTATTTATTAGTGAAACAAGGTTCAGATTAGGGAATAACTTTTTCAAAAATCATCTAGGACTCTAAGGAGATTGGGAGTACAGTTCTTTTTTAGCTCCCCTTTAGCCTTAAAAACATTATTAAGTCTAAGTGATCCTGAATCATTGTATTGATCCAGGAGCAAAAAAAGAGAAGGGAGGTGGGGTAGGATAGGATGTCAGTAAAATTCAACATTAAAAATTTCTTTTAAATGAATTTTTATTGATACCTTTTGTTTTTACACGGTCTAAATTTTATCCCTGTATCTTTCTTCCTCCTCCCTTTCAGAGAACTATTCCATATAGCAAAGAATTCTTTTAAAAATGGAAAAAAAGAGGAAGAGTTTGAAAAAGTCAGCAAAAGCAGTCATTGAAAAAAATCTGAATATATGGAATGTTCTGCACTTGTGGCCCTATGGTCTCCCACCCCCATCTTCCTCCTGCAAAGGCTTTGGAGGAGGTGTCTTCTTATATCTCTTCTTTGGGACCAAGTTTGTTCATTTTATTTTTGCAACATTCTTTTTCAGTTGTGTGTTTTTGGCAAATATTTATTGAGTGCTTCCATGTGGAATGCATTATAAAGCCACCATTTCCAGGCAAGGAGCTGGTTTGCTTCCCCCCTTTCTCCCTTTAAATAAACTTCCAGTCCGATAATTGTGTACTGCTACTCTTGACTAGGAAGGGTTTTCGAAACTGAAACATCACTTTGGAGTTTGTTATTTGTGGAAGGCTTGGGGATTCTCTAGAGTGTGGGTTGTGGGAGTGGTGGTATCTGTGCCTCGTTCCAGCTAAATTCATGCTTTTTCGACCCAAAGCTTCCCTTTTATCTAGGGTTTAATGCTGTCTCTTCCCTTCCCCCAGCCTCTCTGCTCTCCCATCCCAGCACTTCTCTAAGATCTTCCCAGTTCTCCAAATGCTGTTATTAATTAGTTCCTCACACAGGTACTGACTCCCTATCTTTTGATTAGCCTTGTGCATATACTTTGTAGAGCCATGTGTATATGTGGTGAAATATGGGCTCTTCTATTTGTAATCACTTTATTCACATTTTTGGAGACCATCCCCAAAGGCGCTGCCAGTATTTTTAACGCTAGCATTGCACTTCGCTCTGGATAAGTGCTTAAGAAATATGTTTCAGTAAATTAGCTTACATGCTCCACTTTAAATTTGTGAAGGATTTTTTGGTGGCTCGTGTTGCAAAGACCACTACAAAACTTTTTGCTCATTTGTAAATACAGCTTGGTTTTAGGATATGGGAAATATGTAGGATTGAGAGACAGGGCTGGTATAGATAAGTGAAATTCACAGTCACCAATTTCCCATTTTCCATTATAATAATTTTAATACTCAGTTTTTTGGAATTGCAAAGAAAGGGCAATGAGAGCCAAGCACTATAAAGTGTTGGGTCTTACTTTTCTTTTTTGATGAGGAAACCAAAAAGCCAGATAGAGAAACATAATAGAGTCACACTTTGGGCCTTCTGGCTCATTGAGAATCCAGTACTGGTTGAATATTTACTGAGTTCCAGGTACTTTGCTAGGCATTAGGAATACAAAGATAAAGAATGAAATAACCCCTTCTTTGAAGGAGCTTTTATTCTGTTGGGGGAGACATGTACATAAATAAATAGAAAGAATAAATGCAAACTAGTTTAAAAAAAGGGTAGTTAGGGGAAGATGGCACTTAATCAGGAAAGTGTTAGTGTAGAATAGGGTGCCTGAGCTGAATCTTGAAAGAAGTGAGAGATTCTGAAAAGGAAATGTACTTCATTTTGGGACTGTGGATAGGCTTCTGTATTTGCAGACAGAGAACCTTGCTTTGAATCTCTGCTCTACCGCCTACTATCTTGGTTAAGTCGCTTCATGTCTTTGGACCTCATTTGTAAAGTAGATTTGAACTTG